TATGTATATGTCATATGTATATGTATATGTATATGTATATGTATATGTATATGTATATGTATATGTATATGTATATGTATATGTATATGTATATATATATATATACATATATATATATATGTGTGTGTGTGTGTGTGTGTGTGATCACACTTGGGAACACAATTGACTATTTGATTATTAACATATGCTGTTGTATTGAAAATATTGTTTGGTGTCCATTACCTGTCACAGCGCACTCGGGAAATGGGACGCAGTTGTCGAGCACATCATCACGAGAGAGCCTAGCTGAACACACTAAGACCAACACTGCAAGACAGCCTAGCGCCACTACAGGCACAGGCGCGAGCCCTACAGACCCAGGACCAGGTAACACAACGGGCAAGAAGGAAGATTTAAACGCTGGCACCAAATCCACCAGCGACAAGAAAGTCTCGGGAGCTGGTACCGGTGTGAGTGTTGAGGGGCAAGGAGTGGCGGCGGTAGGAGATAGACCGAACTCAGGCACACACATACACACGGCCGCAGGTACGTCTTCAGATACCGCAACGGAAACAAGGGTTAGCCTGAGTGTGCAGCGTGTTGCTGTGGGAGGGACGCGTGCAGGTTGTGGGACTGAGATGCAGTCACAAGGAACAGGCACGAGTGTATCGGATTACGTAAGCGCACGGGGTGATGCACCTCCGCAAAGTCTGCGCAATAAGGTATTCGGGTGTGTGTGTGTGTGTGTAGGGATTGGTATGGTTTTATCTTGAGCTGCGTTGTAGTATCTGTGTGGTATAGTATCATGAAATGTGGTCATGCTCAGCATGGACCGTGTGGCTCTGACGTGTGCCGGAGGTATACTCTACCAGCATTTGGTTTGCGGGGTAGGGGTGAATTCATACATGTGTGCAAGCATCTTGGAGAATGTGCCTATATGCACATACGTACATATGTACAGGAAGCTGCTGGTGCCGCAAGTGTCTAACCCTGTCTGTATTTCGCGAATATGTTTATATAGAGTTATGTCCATTTCAGGGGATGTTAATATATACTGGTGTGGAGGTTTTGCAGGGATCAAGGGCGTTTTCTAATAAAAAAACTGATGGCTTTACTTTAATTGATCAGTTTAAAAGTACTATTGTTGCACATGCTCAATATGTATGCCGACCTTTACCATCTATACGACTTCGACGCTGTTTTCTTTCCAAAAACAGGTATGCGTAGAATCTGGTTCGACTCCGATGGTCTTGACCTTTGCATTTGATGCCTCTGCACCGACCTCCATCTTCGGCAGTATATTCCAAAAGGTATGCAAAGTGGTGTATTCAATGGATATATATATATATATATATATATTGTATCTATATCTATATCTATTATTGTTATCTATTATTCTTTTTC